AAGTTCTTTAAGCTATATATTCGTCGAAGTAACATGTGTGCCGTGGTGTGGTTGTTAGTGCCACGGTAAGGAAGTTTGTAGACCCGATGGTCAGGAGTTCGGTCCTGGTCACGGATTAAATTTTAAATTTTTTTTCTATTTACTTCATTTTATTTTTTTAAATTTATTTTTCGATATTTAAACGTGAATAAAGTGTTATATATATAAAAATAATTATTTTTCTATGGGAAAAAGGGATTAATAGCTGAAACACGGATAAATTTCGTCTCCGAAGCTACGCACACCACTCACTCCGTAACTCCCTTTAATATTAACTTATAATTTTCAAACTCTGCCAGAAATTAGAGTTTTATATACCAAACAATCGTACCAAACAGAATTTTTTGACACTAATTAGGGGGCACATAAAGGGCCAAAATAGATTTTGTTAATTAACAGGAAGGAAGTTCCTTAAGCAGTATATTCGTGGAAGCAACGTGTGAGTCGTGGTGTGGTTGTTAACGCTGTGGGAAAAGAAGTTAGTAGACTCGGCGGTCAGGGGTTCGGTCCTGGTGACGGATTAATTTTTAATTCTTTTTCCTACGTACTTTAATTTTTTTAAGTTTATTTTTCGATATTTCAACGTGAATAAAGTGTTATATATATAAAAATAATCATTTTTCCTTGAGAAAAAGGGATTAATAGCTGAAAAACGGATAAATTTCGACTCCGAAGCTACGCACACCACTCACTCCGTTACTCCCTTTAATACTAACTTATAAATTTCAAACTCTGCCAGAAATTAGAGTGTTATATACCAAACAATCGTACCAAAGAGAATTTTTATACACTAATTATGGGGCACATAAAGGGCCAACATAGATTTTGTTAATTAACCGGAAGGAAGTTCCTTAAGCAGTATATTCATGGAAGCAACGTGTGAGTCGTGGAGTGGTTGTTAGCGTTGTGGGTAAAGAAGTTTGTAGAAGTCGCAAAAGAGCAAATAGACTGATTTTCTCGGATTTTTTCTGTTTTTTTCCCATTTTCCCAATAAAAAAATATTATTTCCTACATGCAGCACCCTTCAGAATATCGAAAAACACTTAAAAGAAGTAATATAAATGAAAATAAAGAAGAAGAAAAATAAAATAATTAAATTTTTTGAAAATCTGCCCGTCACTGGGATTCGAACCCAGGACCCCCTCCATCCAGCAGCGAACTTGCTTGTCTGGTGGCCTTCCTTCCAGTCCCCGGTGATACATGAAGCCTACCGCAGTTTCGCTTCAAAAGCTCTCTCCTCTCATCTTCGCAATATACCTTTAGGAGCCTACTGTGACCTCCTTAATTGGCCTATAAATCCAGCAAAGAAAGCGTAATGGAATAATAAAAAAAAGAATAAAAAAATAAAATGGCTCGAGAAAGGTTCAAATTTCGAGACCCCCTTGCTCCCTTTAATATCAAGGTATATTTTTCACACTCAAACCTTGGACTGGAAGGTAGGCCACCACACAAGCAAGTTCGCTGCTGGAGGGAGGGGTCCTGGGTTCGAATCCCAAGGACGGACAAATCTTCAAAAAAAAATATTTTTTTTTTGTTTATTTAAAATTATATTATTTTTTTAATGTGTTTTTCGATATTCTGGAGGATCCTGCATGTAGGAAATAATTTTTTTTTATTGGGAAAATGGAAAAAAAACTGGAAAAATCCAGGAAAATCAGTTTATTTGCTCTTTTTCGACTTCTTTTGTAACATTTTGTATATTCTAGCATGCATGGGGTGTTTTCTGTTTTTGAAATCCGGCAAAGAAAGCGTAATGGAATAATGAAAAAATAAAATGGCTCGAGAAAGGTTCAGATTTCGAGTCCCTCTAGCTTCCTTTAATATAAATGTATAATTTTCAAACTCGGAACCTATGTAGGGGTCTATGGTCCAAAACTGGCTGCCGAAGATAATTTTTATAAGCCAGTTAGGGGGGTTACAGTAGGCCCCTAAAGGTATATTGCGAAGATGAGAGGAGAGAGTTTTTGAAGCGAAACTGTGGTAGGCTTCACGTAGCACCGTGGACTGGAAGGTAGGCCACCAGACAAGCAAGTTCGCTGCTGGAGGAAGTGTTCCTGGGTTCGAATCCCTGGGGTGGACAAATTTTCAAAAAATTTTATTTTTTTTATTTTAAGGGCAGATATCGTGCCGTTTGTTAACATTGAAAAGTGTCTTCGAATTTCCTTATTTTAATGCACTATTTTAAATATACATAGTGCACCCCCTATGGGGTCTACAATTATTTCATGTGGTAGGGTACACTATTGCCCTGTAATATAATACGTGGTCCAATTAAAATATTATGGATCAATATTAAGGTCCGATAAGGTCCGATGGTGGCCGTGCTTTAAGTTAACATTGAAAAATGACTTCGCGTTTCCTAATTTTAAAGGGTTTTAGAAGGCGAATTTCCTCATTTTAAAGCTTTTTTTTTAATTTACTGTATTTTTTTGCTGAAATTGTCATTGAACTCTAAAGGTATTCTGCTATCAACTGATTAATTACATGGTGCGTAGCGCTTTTAAAATGTGCTTAAAGGTGCTTATTTTTGTTTTTAAAAGCCCTTAAAGGTGCATTTTTTCTTCATAATATCCATTTTTGCCACATATTATGCAAAAGTGTGGTTTTTACATTGTTTTATCCAACAATTTCACAATTCATTCAACCACAATCCAGTTCGGCATAACGTCGGTCCATAGCATATGAAAGCGGCAATCATTTTACATGTTGGATGAAATACTTGCGAGTCTGCATGTGTGCCTGGGTTCAGTGAGATTATTGCTCTTTCCATGTATTGCATTTTGCAAAATGCTCTCAATTTCAGGCTTCATTTTAAACCCTCTGATATCGAACGGAAAATCTCTTGATCATTTTATAATGGCTAACATAATCAAGAAAAGAGTTCATTGTCAGAAGCTAGTTATTTTATCGTACATAGTGCTTAAAAAGTGCTTATTTTTTGTTGAAACATTTGGGTAATTTATATGGTTTATTTTCAGATGGATGCCGAAGAGTCTTGTGTGACTGTCCCAGCACATCGTATACATAAGGTAGCACGCCAACGGAGGGCGCCAGTCAAAGTTTATGACTTCTATATCCAAGGTTAACACTTTCATCAATAATCAAAACAGATATGAAATATCAAAGTTTAAAATATGTAAAAATAAATGAGCCACCTGAAATATTGAGAAAAATTTTAATAAATGTCCTCCAATGTAGTTTATTTTTTGTTATGAGTGCTAATGACAGATTCCTTATTTTCAGCGAGAAGTGCCAGGATGTTTTACCGTCCTCACAGGACTGATCTTTGCGATATTTGCGACGATGATGACTGCGGTGATAATTGCCTCAAAACAACGACCAGCAGTGAAGAATCTTCATTTGCAAGTTCTGCACACCTGCTGCAGAGCTATTCTATTTTTATATCACTTTTAAGCATTTTCTTTTTGAAAGCAATGATGTGAGACTGTTTCAAAATTTTTAAGTGCAGATTACTTTGATAGAGGCAATCTTGTTTTATTAGGAATGATCAATTTAAAAAAGAGCAACTGTACTATAATTTGTAAAAATACTATCTCTTCTGACCTTTCATAATTTTGCTTTAAATATAAAAACTGTACAATATTTTTTTATTTATTTTTTGTGCAATTCTTCCAATCTGTTGAAGATTGGGTGTAAAATCAGTTACTTTCGTCATCGCTATAAAACTAATTGCATTTTGTCAAGCAACAAAACTGTATCAATTTCATTGTAGAAACTCTAGTAAATATTTATATATATAATTTTTAACCAACTTCAAATTCTGTTTAATATATTATAAAAATTGTTTTAAATGTGAATTTATCTTTTACAAAGCTTTTATTTATACTAACAGCGCTGATATTTTATTAACAATTTTTAATTAATTATTTTTAAGAAAAATTTCAAATGCTTTATATATTCCTCTCTTATGGTTCTACGATTGCAACATTTATCAAAAAAATTTTTAATGAATTGTTTTGAAGCTTAACTAACATATTTTAAAACTGCCTGTTGTAAGAGATTTTGAAACATAATTGTTTTAATTTCGTTTCACCTAAACTTATAAAATATTAGATTACCAATATCACTATAAAGTTAAAGCAGACTTTAGAAGTTTTTGCATTTAGAATATCATTACCAGTTTCCTAAATATTACGCTTTTATAAATGTTTCATTAATAAAAAAAGAGTGTTTTTACCAATAGGACTCAATTATTAGAATAAATTTTTAAAAAATTATCTTTTTTTCTTAAAAAAGTTAATAAATCTATTATATTAAAATTCGCTTTTGTTAATGATATTTTGCAGTATACATATGTGCCATAACATTACAAGGTGTTTCTTTTGAATACCGTTAGACTCTATAAAATAGCCTCTCTTTGCAAATTGGTTCTTCATTGTATTGTAATGCGATCACTTTGGTGCTATATTATTGTTATTACCTATAATTGTTACTTTTTAAGCTATTTGCAGATGAATATGAATGCATCTATTAACATGTGTCATTATATATTTGTATTTATAATCTTTTGATGTTTTATATCACATATAAAGTTGATATTTTTGTGTAATTTACTTGTATTTGGTTTAAAAGAGTTGTTTCACTCCTAAAGTAAGTTATTTTATTATGTTATATATATTTTTATTTGTATTTTTAATGAATTTAAATTGTATTGCAATGAACTCTAGTTTATAACATTTTTTGGTAGCTATCTGTAACTTTTTATAACTAGGTATTTTAAAGTGGAAAATACATGGTTTCATTTATTTATTTGTGCCATTACACTATAAAGAATTTTTAAATTTTTATCTGTAAAAGAGAGACTTGCATTTCAAACTTATAATACTTTATATACAAAAATGTTACATATGAAGCATCATTATGTTTTTAAAATTAACTTGTATATTTTGTTTCATCTGCTGCTTGAATGTAATTATAGATTTGAAACATTAATGTTTTAATTGTGAGTTACTTAATTTGATCAAAAACTATTTTATTAACCACTTTACCTTACCAATTATTTTGAAGAAAGAAAAAAAATGCAGAAAATTAACATGCTTTTTTATTTTATTAATAAATACAAGGAACAAAGACAAAACATAATACACAAGTTTTATGTTGGAATTGTTTTTATGTGTAAGAAACCATTAATTTGAAATCATTTTACTATCCATAGTTATTTCGGGCAATTAAATATTATTCTTTGTATGATAGTTCTTAAAACAACACAAAGTGATACTTTCCAAATACCAGTGAAGTGATGTTATTTTACCCCCTTTGTTTTTTTCTATGTAAATTCAGCAACCATTGTATGATAAAATATCACAAAACATCCCACAGTTAAACATCAAAACTCCTAAATAAAACTTCTAATCAAAGCAGATTATGTACTTCCGACTGAGTAGAAACATGATAAAACAAAATGTTCTGACAAATTATGCTGACGATAAATATTTGCACTCGAGTTAACTCTGGATTATCAAGGAAGCCGTTGACTCTTTGGTGTCACCTAATCAGTGTTAAGATTTCGTTTAGAAGAGGCCTAATTTCTCTTAGACTGAAAAAAAAAAAAAAAATAAGAGAAACTGATCAAAATGAAAGAACAATAAAAAATTTTGACTACAAGCATTAAAAGAACAGTTTAATATTGAACTTAACATAGTGCCAGAAAATTATGTTTTTCAAATCTACTTTTTTTTTAAAAAAAATTATAGAATCAATTATTTTAATAAAAATTGGTGTGATATTTCAGGATCGCCACTCCACAAGGAAAATACAGGGAATTTAAAAATCACCTGAAATAACATGGTTTTTTTCTTTACAAACTGGGAAAATACAGGGAATAAGGTAGCACGCCAACNAAACATCAAAACTCCTAAATAAAACTTCTAATCAAAGCAGATTATGTACTTCCGACTGAGTAGAAACATGATAGAACAAAATGTTCTGACAAATTATGCTGACGATAAATATTTGCACTCGAGTTAACTCTGGATAATCAAGGAAGCCGTTAACTCTTTGGTGTCACCTAATCAGTGTTAAGATTTCATTTAGAAGAGGCCTAATTTCTCTTAGACTGAAAAAAAAAAAAAAAAAAGAGAAACTGATCAAAATGAAAGAACAATAAAAAATTTTGACTACGAGCATTAAAAGAGCAGTTTAATATTGAACTTAACATAGTGCCAGACAGAAAATTATGTTCTTCAAATCTACTTTTTTTAAAAAAAAATTATAGAATCAATTCTTTGAATAAAAATTGGTGTGATATTTCAGGGTCGCCACTCCACAAGGAAAATACAGGGAATTTAAAAATCACCTGAAATAACATGGAATTTTGGTTTTTTTCTTTGCAAACTGGGAATTTGGTTTCTTAATTTTGTCTTATCACTGAAAGCGTAATCCAGGGATGATATTTCAGCTATACTAAACTATTTCATTTACTCTAGCATTAATTATGTTCAGATGTTCTTTTTATTTCTTCCAACAATTAAAACATAGTATAGTTAGCCCAATATGCAAGAAGAGCACAATAATTGTGTTTCCTCTTAATACATTGTTGTATAATATGTACAGGGAATTCCAAATTTGAGTTGCAACCCTGTATTTGTGTATGATTTGTTAATTAGAATGTATTAATAAAGTTTGATTATAATATTTTTAATAATTAGGTTCCTTTCTATACTTATTTTCATATGATATAGTGAAAATAGTGGTTCTTTTAATTTATTCAGAAATTCATTTTAACTCCAATTGTTTCTTTTTTTTAGTTTTAGCATTTTTAGAAATAATTTGGAAATGAATAACTAAACTAAATTGTGATCACTACTGTTGTAGAAAAGCTTCGCTGTCTTCTTTCTCACCATGAAATGAAATAGTTCACATTTTTGCATAGAGCATTCTCATATGAAACTATTATCGATAGAATCACTAGTTGAATTGTTCTATGGTAACTCAAAACTCTGCTATGAAATTCTTCTTCAAATTATCATTAGTTTGTTATTTTTCTAGGCATTTTCTTTTTTTAAAAAATTTTTTTTGTTTAAAAAAAAATTACACTGAAAAATATTTTATCCAACTTTTTTTTCTAAATGTATATAAAGCTAATCAAAATAAACACAAAATGTTGCAAGTAGAACAAACAGTTCCGCGAGACAAATTTTTTTCCTCCAGCAATTAAAACTAGTATAGCTCACACAGTGATTGTGCTTAATTCCTCTTAATATATTGTGTACAGGGAAAACACTGGGATTTTTTTTTCTTCGAGATTTGATTTGCAACCCTGATTGCAGTGTCAAGTGGGTGCGATGTTTCAGAAATTGTATGGCAATAATTCAAAAATCATATTATTTTCATTCATTTCCCAAAAAGACAAAAAATTAAATACAATTCCAATTCACTAGTATATAAGACATGTTAACTCGATTGTATGTTGGGGTACAGTCGGCCCAAAAAAATAAAGATATCATGCTGAATAACTTTCGTTCTAATGATCAGATTTTCATGAACTAAGTGTCAATTTTAAATCCAGAAAACAGCCAACTAAAGTCGCCACCGCAAATGAATGTTTTCAGATAACCCATAGACTAATTCAAAAGAGAAATACTTAATTTTACTCCGTTGCTAAGCGACCAAGTTCTGACTGTAAAAAAAAAATTTAAATAATGTTCCATGATTGCTCAGAGAGGTTTAATTGTTAATAGAAAATAGGTTCTAGGCAATAGACAATTTTTAAGCTGATTTCTGTCCAAAAAGCAACGATTTTTTCTTTCTTTTAATCTACTTTGAAAAGAAAATTTGAATCAATTTATAAATTACTTGTGATTTTCTAAGCTTTTAGAATTTAAATACATGAACTTTTTATATGACATTATTTAGATTTTTTATGTTGTTTTTACTATATTTATACGAGGATTTCATACTGAAATCAAATTTACATAAATTATTATAGCTATATACGAAATCTTAGAGATAATAATTTTTCGAGTCTTCTAAGCAAGAAAGTTTGAAGAAACAAAAAAAGTGCTTCAAAATAAAATGTAGATTGTATATTAATGCTAATGCACATTCATAAGGTTTTCTATAACTTACGATATTTCTTTTCTTTATAACTGAATGTTAAGGGGCATTTTAAAAACATTGAATTATGTTATGTTTAAGAATAAGATATTGACATAATATACGTTACATATTGTGTGATTCATTGCTTAAAAAATCGCTTCATTCTGCTAGATATTTAGGTCACATGGTTTTCTTTGGATAAAGATGATTTGCAAATTTCATTCTCATGTTTGGATACATTCTGAAACTCACATTCGCAAATTCACCATGGAATGTTGCACAGCATGTTCTTCAATTACGATAAGCTACATTTACAAACCAATACTGCTACTATGATTATTTTTCCTTACATATATCTGATACGATATTCTCTTTTTAAACAGAGCTCGTAAGGTCCATAAGATACAGAAATGGGGGCGCAAAAACTTAAAAGATAAAATATTCAAATTCATTAACTCAAAATTTTAAAGATAACTTTAATCGTTACAATATTGATGCTACGGTTCTCTAACGTTTTTAAAGACCACGTGAATCCTGTTAAAATATTAAAATGCGTATGTTTACTTTAAAGTTTAAAACGAGACCCTTATCAAAATAATGAACCAGACACAAATGTAAAATAATATAATTGAGGATAAAAACTCAAGAAATATGAGGAGGAAGCATCACTTTCTAGAGATGGAGAGGAATTAAAAGTTGTTTTTAGAAAGAGATGGGCCCAACGTTCTTTGTTTTTAAAGCGGTAAAATAGAATTCTTTTTTTTCTCTCACTTGACAAACGTAGCGTTTAAAATTTGATTTCACATTATAATGCGAAATAGAATTTTTGTTTCAATCAATTATTAATTATACTCAATTTATTTATTACAATCAATCAAAAATGTTCCACATATTTAATATGTTGTACAGTTAAAGTTGCGAACTAATAATAACTTAATTATTGAATCACTATATGTGTCCCGCAGTGGACTGATCGTTAAGACAAGGTTCCCAGCAGATCACCGCAACACTGGCTGAGGGCAGTGTGCGGGTGGGTGACCACTTGGATCAGTCTGCGTAGGGACCGAGGGTGTGCGGTATGGGTCTGTTCTACCGTAAAGTGATCGACTTCGCGTGCAGGTCGTCGGGCTACCGAAGTGGGGGGGGGGGGGCAGAGAATCAAAATGGGATGTCATCCTCAGGGATGCTTCCCCATTGTGCAGCTCTAGTTCGACATAAATGAATTACAACAATTTTTCCATTCGTTTAAAACAAATAAATTCAATTCTTTTTTAACAATATTGTTTGCATAGCTGTCAACATGGTGAGGAAAAAATCCAGTAGATCTTACGAAATATAAATTTCATGTCACATCAGAATCATTATATATTACTTCATTTCTCTTCTGGGACAACAGAAAGTGAGTTTTGTCATAGAGCTTTATGTTGAACACTCATTTTATATATAATTCACAAATGGTCAAAAGAAAGAGCTTAACGAAAAATTTATTTTTACTTTGTTTACATAATCTATTGGCTATAACAAAACAATTGTTGTTTGCCTGTCGTTCTGACCACAGCGAGGTTTTAAAAGCTAATATTATAAAATTATAATTATAAAAAGACCACATGCCAGCAAGAGGAAATTTAATTATAATCAATTAGAAAACTTTCCTCACTCTAATAAAAGATTTTAAATGAGTCGAATTTAAAATAACTGTTATCAATCAATTTCATTGACCAATTTTTAAATTAATAGTTAAAATAATTTAACTAGTATTTTTTATATTGTGTTCAGGATCATGTACATAAATAATCTAATACAAAAAAGTTCACTAATGATTTTCAAAGAAGGATTAGAAATGTTTTAATACAATAAACTAATGCATTAATCTATATATATATTTCTCTTACACGGCACCAAAAAGAAAAGCCTCATTACAACTCCCCGAATGGCAACGTTAGAAAATCGACCAATGATTGCTGCTAAAAATGTCTCATGAGGTGGCTCAACATATAGCGCTTTTAAAAACGGAAACAATAACCAGAGTGAGCATTATCAGGTTGTTCAATTCAGATTTATGCCCTAAAAATATGATAATATTTCATTTAAACTCAATTAGGAATTTATTAGGCTGGCCTTCTCCATGACTATAAATAAGTCACAAGGTCAGACTTTTGAGAAAATCAGTTTAGTATTGACTGAACAAGTTTTTAGTCATGGACAACTTTATGTTGGCCTGTCAAGAGTTAAGTCATTTGACAGCCTTTCAGTAATTGCTCCAAGATGCCAAATCTATAATTGTGTTTTCAAAGAAATTCTAAA